ATTATTAAAAATTACTATTTTTTATTACAACGTCTAAGCGTGTCTAGGTGAGCTAGGAGATAGACAAATGCCCAATGACCACCTTACGATTAACGTGTTGTTGAACCTCAATAATTATAGCAAACTTTGAGAGCATCTTATAAATTTGATCACTTCTATTTGGTATAATTGATTACATCATGAAACTGATCAATCAAGGAGTCTTTCGATACGATTTTGATAAGATGTCCCCTACTGCACAATTAGTATGACTAAATTGTAATAAGATAATCATGTTTGAATTTTAATTGATAGCGCAAAAGATCGTACTAACTCAAGTAGAGTTTTAGCTACTCAGCGCAAAGAGTTCGAATATTGATTGAGTTTGTTGAACTTTACCTAACAAAACTATGATATCAATCGCAAGATATGATGCTTTTTCGAGAAATTGTGAGAATATGTTGGAGACATCAAACCTAACATGGATACCGTTGAATTTAAGTAATAAGCAACATTCATAGTCAATAGAATATACATGAAAAAAATATTTATCATTCCCATAAGTTGGTAGGAAGCAGTGAATAATTAGGAATGGAAAGCTAGAAACATAGTTAATTTAACAAATAACTGCAAAAAATATTGGAAAAAAGAAAAAAAATGCTTAGAGTGTAGGCATGAGAGTGTTACATTAATGATTAAACCCACAAACAGAAAGCAAGTAATCATTAATAGTCAGTTGTGGATATTGAAATAGTTTACTAAGCTGAATACTATATACTGGTTATTAATAATTGGACCTTAGCTTGAACATTGCATCATGTTGATAAAAATTGTTTCATTAATTAGAATGCTGAAATAAGGGGTTGTATATGAAAGTCTTGATTGTGTTTTTTAGATTGTTAAAATAGATACATTTTTCATAATACAATACATATGTTTTTATTTTTGGTCATACACAATCGTGAATTATTTGGTTGCTTTGACTAAACTATCACTCAAATTGAATGATAACAAATTCGAATTTTAGCATAGACTGTCGAGATAATTGGTATCGGTGTTTGTCATGTTTATTTTTCTTGAAATGTATGGTACCAATGCTCTTATGTCGTCATTGAACACTTCATTCAACACTTCAATTCAATGCGCAATATTCCAACCAATGATATTGTGTTGAGATTTTAAGATTATCCTTCAATATAAGCTAGAAAAAATTCTAAATTAATTATTAAAATATGAAAATAGAATAATCAAACACCACAAAATACTTATAGGAGACCTAGCGGGCTAACTAACCGTGATAGAAAAGTACTCTGTTTTTCATAATTTTAACTTCCTCTATATTTTGTATTAGTAAAGTACAACAAATGTGTCTAGTCTAATTGGTTACAATTCTTGTCTTTGATGGAAGATACCATGGTTCGAATCCTAGCATTGATATATTTTTGTATGAAATAAAAAATTGATTGTGTAGACGAAAATACCCTTCCTACTTTCACTCTCGTTGCAGGAAATTTGAAATGGAGCAAATCAAACTCTTTAAAATGTACTAGCGTGGCCCCGGCCAGTTGGCCGGAGGAAGGCGAGGTATGAAATTTGATAATGTAATGAGGTGTATAGCTTATTGTTGTATAGTTTTTTTGGGAAACACGTGATAAAAATAGTGAATTTTAGCAGGAAAGAGACATGAATGATGCAACGAATAAAAAATCGGCCTTATGAACCAAAATCAGTACCTGTTACCTTGTGAAACAATATTGTTTCTGGTAATATGATGAGTTGGAGTAAGTTTTATAGAAACCAAATTCTAGAAAATCGAATAAAAAATCGCCTATCCCGTCAGTTTTCGGGAAATGAGCATCTCACAATCGTTGCTAGCTTTTACTCGGCCTGTTGGCCGATTAATTTGCTTTATAAAACATTCATCTTGTCGTCATTGTGCTTTCTAGTTTTTGTCAGACCATGATAAAATCTAAGAAAATCAAGAACGAACAACACGATTTGGGATTGGAACCGCAGTTGTTGTATCCCTAGAAAATGGTGGTAAATACAGTCTCACTTGCCAAACTGGTTTGGATTGAGATTTTTAGCGGGTATCAGGGAACCATGTGATTATAAATTAGACTTGATCAAAACGGGTCAAAACTTGAAATTCAGCATGTTTGACCGACCCATGCCAAATCTAATTAGTCTTTACTTTTAAACTTTCTATTTGAAAATAAAAAATAGTGAAAGAAAAGAGATGACTGCAATTCGCCATTTGCACATCACTTATTCGGGAATAAAACCATAGAAATTCAAAAGGAACTGAAAATATTTAGGTTCGTTTTAATTTATAAAATAACCAAATAGATCTTTCTGTTTAGTTTTTTACTTACAAATACCAAACGATTCCCTATAAAATACACTATTATTTTTTGGGAAACACCGGATAAAAATAGTGAATTTTAGCAGGAAAGAGACATGAATGATGCAACGAATAAAAAATCGGCCTTATGGACCAAAATCAAGTACCTGTTACCTTGTGAAACAATATTGTTTCTGGTAATATGATGAGGCGGAGTAAGTTTTATAGAAACCAAATTCCAGAAAATCGAATAAAAAATCGTCTATCCCGTCGGTTTTCGGGAAATGAGCATCTCACAATCGTTGCTAGCTTTTACTCGGCCCGTTGGCCGATTACTCTGCTTTATAAAAATTTCAACTTGTCGTCATTGTGCTTTCCAGTTTTTGGCAGGCCATGATATAATCTAAGAAAATCAAGAACGAACAACACGATTTGAGATAGGAACCGCAGTTGTTGTATCCCTAGAAAATTGTGGTAAACACGGACTCACCTGCCAAACTGGTTTGGATTGAGATTTTTATCGGGTATCAGGGAACCATGTGATTATAAATTAGACTTGATCAAAACGGGCCAAAACTTGAAATTCAGCCTGTTTGACCGACCCATGCCAAATTCTAATTATTCTTTACTTTTAAAATTTCTATTTGAAATTAAAAAATAGTGAAAGAAAAGAGATGACTGCAATTCGCCATTTGCACATAACTTATTCGAGAATAAAACCATAGAAATTCAAAAGGAACTGAAAATGTTTAGGATCGTTTTAATGTTTAAAATAACCAAATAGATCTTTCTGTTTTTAGTTTTTTACTTACAAATACCAAACGATTCCCTATAAAATACACTATAATTTTTTCATTATGATATCAAATAATTATATAATATATATTTGAAATGATAAAAATTGAACTAATTGGGTTGGTCGAGGTTGAACCATTGAATAACTTTAAAATATATTATATTTTAGCCACTAAGATATAAAATAATAGCATGATATATATTATACCAGAGAAAATAGCTTGTTTTAGAATGACAAACCAATGATGTTCATTTGTTTTATTTGATGGCCAAATCCCGTGTAGGTCAGACCCATTCAACTCTTTTATTTTATGGTTAGCGGTTAGCCCATCAGATACCATGCATTAGTTTATTGTTAAATTTTTTTTAACAATAAAAAGGAGTATTGTTTTTGCCTTTTCATATATACTTTATCACCACAGAGAAATAAAAGGGCTTAAAGAAAAAAATTGACACTCCAGAACCCATTTAAATGCGCATGTGTACGGTAAGTTGGCCCGTTCCACAGAGGAAAGAGAAAAAAATTGACACTCCCTATTCTACCCTTCCTACAAACGCTCATGGAGCATGGAATTTGGAATGGGGGAAGAGTTTTTTCCTCCATGCTATTGTATGTTTTAATTTAAAAAGATACAACAAATGTACTTAGTGTGATTGGTTATGATCCTTGCTTTTCTTTAAAATGGTCATGGTTCGAATCCCAGTAAGTGCCTTTTTAATGAATAAAAAAAAGTAATTGTGAAGATCAAAATGTCCTTCCTACTTTCACTCTCATTGCAGGAAATTTGAAATGGGGCTCCCGTTTTTCTCTTCGGATGTGTTATATAAATAAAATATAACAACTAATAAACAGAAGAAGAAATGGTCTTACAAGCAAATCCATTAACGGGGCTAACAGCGGCATCCGATCTCTGCCTTAATTGGAACCGGGCTTTAAAAGTAACTAACTAACTAAGTGCTGTGCGGTGAACTGGTGGTGTTGGCTGGATCTGCCTAACAGAGAGAGGTTCCAAATAGGGATGGCAATGGGTCGGGTTGGGGCGGGTTTTGTCAAACCCAAACCCATGGGTTTATCCGCCAAAAAAAACCGGGGGTAAAACCCGCTGGGTTTGAAAAACTCAAACCCAACCCAACCCGCTGGGTATCCGCGGGTTCATGGGTACCCGTGGGTTTTTGTGGTAAAAAATTTACAATAACAAGTTTCTTTCAAAATGAAAGTTTAGCATTAATTTTCTCATACAAATTATTCATACAAAAAACACCAATCTAGAGCATACAAGCAAATCGCAAATTGTTCAAAATTAAAGATAAACATCTATAAACAATAAGATTAATTGAAAGCTTTTTACTCGTCAACTAAGTTTCTTCACTCTCCACTTCATAATATCAACTTCATTCTAAACAATTAGAAACAACAAATTATATATGTCTCCACAAACATAAAGAATATTAATTGTTTAAGGAAGATATATTATTTAGAGTATTAAATATACCGGGAAAGTAATTATATGTGTGTGGGCGGGTACCCATGGAGCGGATTTACCTAAACCCAAACCCAACCCGACCCGATGAATAGTGTAGCGGGTTTAAATCCAAACCCGGTCCAAAACCCATCAACACGAGTTTTACCCGCATTGACCGGGTTGGGTCGGATGGGTACTCGTTGGTTCGGGTTTGGTTGCCATCCCTAGTTCCAAAAGCCCGAATCGAGATGAGTACAAAACGGTCACCTTTGGAAAGATGGGGGAATGAGTTAGAAGTTCGAACCTCGTGGCGCGTGGTTGTGACACGCTGTCCGTCCGCGTAGGTAACGGCAAACGCAACCAACTTGGCGTGGCGTAAAACGGGAAACTCCTATAAAATGGCCGCGCCCGTCGTCCGTCTGTCCAGCTTTCTCCCTCTCTTCTCTCTTCAGTCTTTACAAAAGGACTCTGCCCTCGCAAACAGACACTTTTGCCAGCGTAGCCTTTCCAGGCGGAGCTACAAGGCCAATTAACCCTAAGGACTTACCAGAAACAACACAGCACACGACGTCGACGACGGCCAGCGACGGAGGAGATAGACTGAGACGGAAGAGAGAGAACATTCTTGCTCCGCAGTTGTCAGATTTTTTCTTTTCCTCTACCGCAATTCGTTTTCTCTGTACCTGATCGGGATTTGCATTCTTCGTATAAAAAAAAAATGGTGGAGAGTAGTAGCCTGCTCGGCTGGATCCTGCCCTCCATCCTCGGCCTGCTCGGAGTTTACTTTTACTTCGCCGCGAGAAGGAATGCGGAGACTAATCGGCGAAGAGCATTGTCGGAGGAGAGCAGTGATTCGGTCCGGAACCTCACCACCACCAAAGGAGAGCACAGATCTGGCGGCGACGCTAACGCCGACGCCGACGTCATCATTGTTGGCGCCGGCGTCGCTGGCGCCGCTCTCGCCCACACTCTCGGCAAGGTAATGATTGATTTCAATTGAGATTCCACAGCTTGCTTTCTCTTCCGCCCTAGCTGCAATTTTTGTGCCAGAACCGATTCCCTTGTGCACTATTTCTTGCTGTTATTATATATTAGTTTGTTTCACTTTCATTCAATTCGTCAATTATACAGTTGAGTTGCGGACGGCTGAGTTCTATTTCATTCGGCCGTTGGAGATATGATACTGTTCGTTTACGTAATAGTTGTTAGCAGTAGTCTTCAGTCATGGCGTTGGGATGGGCTAGCTTTCTAGTAGTGTTTTTAGCAAGATGAATTTCTTACTGGTCTGGGAGGACTTCCTTGCTAGTGATGATGATCTTGTGATAATTGAATTGGTTTAGTAGGTCATGCTGGATATTTTAATCAGTTTTGATTTACATGTCGTTGTACATCTGTTAGTTGACCTTTGATTATATGATCTGCTGTACGAAATGGCGTCAGTTGGGCAAAAAAAGCATTAAGATCAGTATTTGATGCCGAGTGACTTGATTTGCAGGATGGTCGTAAGGTGCATGTCATTGAAAGGGATTTGACCGAGCCGGACAGAATTGTTGGTGAATTGCTTCAACCAGGAGGGTACCTGAAGTTGATAGAATTGGGTCTTCAAGGTGTGGGTCTTGAGCTTTTCCCCCCCCCCCTAATCTTTGTGACTTGCTGTTCCAGTTAGAGGAGATGACTGACTAACATAAAACCCCGACAGATTGTGTGGAGGGAATCGATGCTCAGCGAGTGTTTGGTTATGCCCTTTTCAAGGATGGGAAGCATACTCAACTTGCCTATCCCTTGGAGAAGTTTCACTCGGATGTATCAGGAAGGAGCTTTCACAATGGTCGTTTCATTCAGAGAATGCGGGAGAAAGCTGCATCCCTTCCAAAGTAAGTTCATCGATTGGCAAAGCTTAACCAGTTTGCCTTCATTGAGCTTAGCCGTAACTTATGATGTTTGCCTAATTCTATTAGCGTGCGACTGGAGCAAGGAAGTGTCACTTCTCTGCTTGAAGAAAATGGAACAATCAAAGGTGTGCAGTACAAGAACAAAGATGGAGAGCAGCAGACAGCATATGCACCCTTAACAATTGTTTGTGATGGTTGTTTCTCGAATCTACGTCGCTCACTCTGCAACCCAAAGGTAAAATAAAATCTTGCATCCAGCAGCTGGCCTCGTCATCCATGAATTTCCAGGGGATTGATTGACTTGATGGGTTTAACTTTTGAATCTGTTGCAGGTGGATGTTCCTTCTTGCTTCGTCGGTTTGGTGTTGGAGAACTGTGATCTCCCCTGTGCAAATCATGGGCACGTCATACTTGGAGACCCTTCTCCGATTCTGTTCTACCCCATCAGTAGCACGGAGGTTCGCTGCCTGGTTGATGTTCCTGGACAGAAGGTTCCTTCCATCTCCAATGGTGAAATGACAACGTATTTGAAGACCGTGGTAGCCCCTCAGGTACAGAATCAAAATTTCCATTTTCTTCTTTTCCTTGCTAGCACTAACATAGTTTTCGCGTACTGACATTTGATAATGCCTCACTTTCCAGATCCCGAAACAGATATACGATTCATTTGTGGCAGCTGTCGATAAAGGCAACATAAGAACGATGCCCAACCGAAGCATGCCAGCTGCTCCATATCCTACACCTGGCGCATTGCTGATGGGTGACGCATTCAACATGCGTCATCCATTGACAGGTGGTGGAATGACGGTTGCCCTATCCGACATTGTTGTCCTGCGCAACCTTCTCAGACCTTTGAAAGACCTGAACGACGCTCCTACCCTATGCAAGTACCTCGAATCCTTCTACACCTTGCGAAAGGCAAGTTTCTTACTTGCAAAAATCCCTTTTGTTCTCTGGTAATTATTGAACAAAGATGAATGGCCCCCTTGCTGAGAATTACGGTCTAAACCAGTGCAATTCACAAAATGCAGCCTGTTGCTTCCACGATCAACACGCTAGCTGGCGCATTGTACAAGGTGTTCTGTGCTTCTCCAGACAAAGCCAGGCAGGAGATGAGGGAAGCTTGCTTCGATTATCTAAGCCTCGGAGGCGTATTCTCCAGCGGACCGGTTTCATTGCTGTCCGGTTTGAACCCTAGACCGTTGAGCTTGGTTCTCCATTTCTTCGCCGTTGCAGTGTATGGAGTCGGACGGCTCCTGGTTCCTTTTCCTTGGCCCAAACGCATCTGGATCGGGGCTCGCCTGATATCGGTAGGTGTTGTCTCTCTCTTCTTCTTCTGCTTCTCTACTCTTTTCCCAGATTCCGATTGAGCAAACAATCAACGATGTTTTGGTGTTGTTGTATTTGGTTGGGGCAGGGGGCATCTGGAATAATTTTCCCAATAATAAAAGCGGAGGGAGTACGGCAGATGTTTTTCCCGGCGACTGTGCCTGCTTATTACAGAGCCCCTCGCTGATGGGCAAGTGTTCAAGGTCTCTTTCTGTGTCGAGTCTGTTATCCCGTTTTGTAAAGTCTCAGAACGTGTGTGTAATGTACTCTTCTATTGAGTTCCCAATATATATGAAAATTTTGTCTCCAGTTTGATTATTTATGGACATTAGAAGGCGTGAACAGAAGGCAAGAATGAAGAAGAGCTTCAATTTCCGTTTAGAACATGGTAATGAAGGCTGTGGAATGTGGTGAAGGTATTATAGCACTATAGCTGACTGTTGCGCTGGTCCAAGAGGAGAATTGTCGCGGTAGTTGTTTACTATGGAAAAGAGTACTGAGGGTTGTGTCTGATTCATTGTCACTTGTCAGTGATGCCTATTCAAAAGGACAGGACGAAACATAAGTTAAAAAACACTTGGAAGTCCGATTCCCTCATTTATTTGCAATATCAAATTCATGGGTCCATTAATAATATTCATTCATGAGTCATGACAGAGGCTAGTACTTGCATTGCATGATATGATGGAAGGCTAAGCTTTGATAAACTATGTTAGATCATCAAACATCAACTAGAAAGAAACAGATATTAGCGTTCTTAAAAGGATAACAAGTTTTTTAGCGCTCTTAAAAGGATAACAAGTTTTTTGGCCCGCGCTTCGCGGCGGTAAGAAATTAATTATATTTAAAATTTATCTGCTCATTTTATTATTTAGTTGAAATCAAATAACTCGCAAAAATTTCAAGTAAGATTTATGTAGTCTTTTAATCATTACAAAAAAATATTTACATAATAAGTTTATCTAATTGATACATAAGAAATACTATCTCCTTATAAGTTCAAAGTAATGTATATATAATTTACGTAATAGCTATATAGTTAGTAAATACTCCGTTTAATACACGTATATGTACCCGTACGTACTTTTAAAACTTCCGTATCCGTATTTTTGTCAAGCCGTTTCATTTTTGTCCGTTCATTTGGTGGCTCCCGTACTAAACACGTATAAAATCCGTATAACACGTTTTATATCCGTATTTAATAAAATAAATTGTTAACTTTACTATTATTTATATATTTATTTATTTTAAAAAATAATTTATTTTATATATTTATGACTATTGGCGTACTATTAAACGTAACATTAGCTTAGAAATGATGTAAAATACCCGTACGTATTATATCCGTAACTTTCCCGTACTGTATTTTACTAACTATGCAAAAGTTTTACATAAATATTATGGGTGTGTGATATAATAACCAAAGTGACATAAAAGTATCTCATTCGATTAAAAGATAAAGTAAAATTTAGCATACCTTACATTACATAACCATTGTGTAATGCAAATTGCTAAGATGGTGAATATTGTAAGTAATAATAATAAAAGAACTAATTTACCAGTGGTATCATATTTGATTAAATTATTATGTAAATAATAACTAACTTTACATAATCTTTGTGTAATACACATTTATTGGAATGATCAACGGTTTACTTAATAGTAAAACAAACTTATATTGTGAAAGACTTACTTTATATATTTGTATGAGTAATACATAAAAAATAACTATTCATTCATAAGTTTTATATATAGTGTATTAACTATTTTGAAAAACGTACGCAATATGTATTTTTAATTGATATGCAATAAATAACTATCCCTCCGATCAATAAGTTTTATGTTAATAAATTTATAATGCAGTGGTACAAAAGTTTTAAGTAATGTGCAGTCTAATAAGAAAATCAAATAATAAAATGAATTACATTTTATTCAAATATTATTTAAAGCCTTGCGGAACCATTATAATTCAAATGAGGTGTGGGAAGGAACAGGCACAAAACTGAGTATTTAATTAACCAACTTCGAGAGTCGCGTATAGGCGAGAAACAATTTTCAATGGGGATTAGGGTCTATCATAAAGCGGACCGCATAGTATAATTACAAACATTAGTGAACAATAATATGCGGCAGTGTTCCGATAAAAGTCGTAATTGTGCTATTTTGTCGTATGCAACAGTGAATTAAACTAGTGTAATTAATTAAATAATAATTAAATAATAATTCATTCATTTATTAATACAACCGGTACCTTGTCTCAAATAGCTAACTTGCATTAATCTAGATTATTAAAATATATTAAATTCACTTTAGACCATTGTTACCAAAATAGTGGTAACCAAGGCTATTGGTAATTACATATTAATATTTTACAACCGTTACATAAGCTATACATCATTTAAGTAAAATTTATGGAATGAGAATTATTTTTTACGTAACAGTTAAATCAGAAGCATTAAGTAAGGTTTTCGTAATGATTAAACACTTTACATAACACAAGGTTAATTTTCATTATGTAAAAGGATCATCCATTACGGGCTTTCGTAATAATACTTTACAATTGTAACGTAAAATACACATCCATTACGTAAAGGTTATGAAACAATAGTTATTTCTTACATAAAAGTTAATTTAGAAGCGTTACTTAAGGCTTACGTATTGACTTAGCACTTCACGTAATGTGAGGTTAACATTCACTACGTAAAAGGATTGTCCATTACGTAAGTCATCCATAATGACCTTTTACAACTGTTACGTAAGATAAGCCTATGTCATGTAACCATTATGTAATGTCTATTGTATTTTATGCAATGCAACCTGTGAAACCTGATATAGCAAGTAAAAAAATTCAAGTTACTAAAAATATGAGAAATCTTCATTGTTGTACTAGCTAAGTTAAGCATTTACGGGTGGTGTAGCCTTAGATGTGGTATTTGGCATCAAATACCATATTTGGATGGCCAAAAAATAAACGTGTTATTGTTAGAAATACTAGGGCCTGGTATTGTTTAAAAGTTATGTTATTTTTTTTCATTTCCAATCTATCCTCCTTTGTTTCTTGAAAATTTGGAAATACGCGTGTTACCTTTTCCTTCCCAACTTGGGTAACGACCCTAGGGGTGAACAAAACAAACCAAAACCTTATTCAACCGTCCAACCCAAAGCGACCTACATGAAATATCCGAGAAAATTCAATTTGATGGGTGGGTGTGAGTTTCAATTTGTAGAAAATGAAGTTTTTTGGGCTATATGCGATTTTGAATGGTGAAAACTCGAAAATAAAAATCCAACCCATGGAACTACACTACATCGTGCCACAAGGTTTGGAGAAGAAGAAGACTTTTTTCAGAGATGTCTGCATGGCCAACATGGAAGAGAAGAGCCAAATTGACCTCAATATTTCTGCTTATGAAGATCTACCAAGACATGATGTTGTTGAGGACTTGAGGTCGATCTTATTGAGACCATCATGAAAGTTGATGGTGAAGAAATATGAGATAATATGAGTGATTTAAAAAGGAGTAGAGCTTCCATGGGTCAATGTGGTATGTTTTAAAAGAATCAAAATTCTTCACTTATATATGTTTGTGTTGTTGTGATGGTTGGGGTATTGAATGTCTTTTAATACATCACTTATATATATTTGTCTTAGAGTCGAATACTTGTTCGAAGCTTATGAATACTTATTAGACACTTAGGAATACGAGTTTGTGCACGTGCATATTTATGCCTGAACTGTTTATGAATACATGTTTGGCGTGTATGAGTAAGTGTCCAACTATGGGGGAATATTTATTTGTTTGATGATCTAATAATTGTTCAAAGCATTCAAATACCGTTTCTGTGGGCTTAATACTAATTAGGTGATTTTGAATACGAGTTCTTCTACTTGTAGCATTTGTTCCTCAACTGTTATGAATACAGGTGAGAAGTGTATGAGTACATGTTCAGTTGTATTTGTTTGTCTCGGAGTTGAATATTTGTTCGACGCTCTTAGTACTCATTAGGCGCTTTTGAATGCCTTTTCAAATACTTGTCCAACTGTCTAATATTTCATAATGCATTTACCTCACAGCTCACCTAACTTTGTCCCTTGAAGACGATGAAGCACGGGGAAACATTCATTTTCACACTAACAAAGAGTGTTTGGAAATGTATGCATGTTATGCTCACAATCAAGGGTTTGTAATTCGAAAGCAGGCAAACACCATAAGAATAGAAAGAACGTAAAGGGCGAGGTGGAGTGAAAATATTGCTATTTGTACTATAAGTATAATAAGGAAGAGTTTTGTACCACTAGTAAATCAGATCCATCAAATGTGGAGAAACAGACCGAGGACCATGTTGTTATGAAAATATAAGGTTGTTGCTTTAGGTAGGGAAAATAGTGATGAACTAATATTTATGATGTGATGAAGTAGTAATGGTAGCGATGAACTAGTATTGTTCTTGTGATGAAGTAGTATCTTGTTGTGATGAAGTAGTGCTTCTTATCTATGAATTATTATTCCAGAAGTGATGAACTAGCACATTTTATCTATGAAGTATTATTCCAGTGGACTTGTGGACTCATTGGATGACTTCACTACCTTGACTTGGGAAAGCGACTTTCCTTGCTTCAAAGTTTACGAATCCGAAGTCGAGCTCGGCAATCGGCTATTGGATGTCAAGTTATCAAAGGTTGATCCACCACGTGATTGCTAGGTCCGTGGGTGGAAAGTACAAGATCAAGGGTAATCTGACTACCCGAGGCGTCACATTCCTTCATAGCATGCATACTCCTCAGGCCTTTACATCTCGGTTTAGCGATCATATCCATACTGAATAGATATGAAAATGATGATCGACTTGCTGCGTTGCACGGTGGAGCATATATCAGTTGACTCGCCCATTACTTCATAGTCAACTTTTGGGTTGTTAAATTTCGAATGGACTATAGAACCACTTCTATTTCCTTCAAAACCTAAAGGCTAGGATCAAGGCCTTGATCCCGAGCGAGGATGGTATATGGAGACTCCAAGGCTTTCCCTTCCAGCTCACGAACACATTGTATATGTAAGGTACGGTGTTTCGTCTCCCATTGCCAACCAACCGACATACAGCTAAAGGTGCAATAGACGTGGATGGCAAGGAAGGACAAGAAGAAGGCGTCCTAGAGGAGGTGGTGACACATCAACCGACTTACCACGCGACAACTTCAAAGATTAACCAAGCTAGAGATTACCATACCCAAGCGTTGATAGATACTATTTTTTCAAAATAAAAAAGGGAGAAGGAAGCTAGGAAACACCTTATGGCATGCATACATGCGATTATGGAGAAGATAGAGATCCCCTTAGAGGATGTCTTCCCACCATTTGTTCGCTCACCTACCCCCAAACAATTTGAAGCCGGAGTTGAAGAAGAATCGTTCGAGGAGGATTAAGTTTTAGGCATCCATGGCCTATTTTTCTATCTTTATTTCTTTGATTTTCTTTCTTTTGACTTTAAACAATGTCTAGTTTTATGTTTTTTCTTTTCTTTTCTGTACCTCGTACTTTTAATTATATATTACTAGTAGGACCTTTATATCATTTTATCTATGTTATTTTATGCCCCATAACCTTTGATTTTCTCTTTTGCTTATGGGTTTTATCGTTCTATACCAACTAGGAAGATCAAAACCTAGACTTGTGCACCTACACCAACCCACCAAAACACTCTATGGTAACGAAACTTGAACCTACCTTTATTCTCCCACACCGAGGACAATGTTTCTCTTAAGTGTGGAGAGATTTGTATGCATGTTTGAATGATTCATGGTGATTTTGCCATAGTTGGTAGTAGCCTCCCTATAATTATGAATGTAAGACGTTGATGATTGTGTGTGGGAGTGCTTGCTACATATTAGTTGTGTTTTGTGGTGTTGAATGACTTAGAATTTGTGTTTGGAAACTTGATGATATAACCAAAATTTTACAAACTGGAGGTTCAAAACATCTTGTCCCTAGCATCTGCCTCCTCAATGTGCTTTGAGTTAGATAGTCAATGTGGTGTGCTTTATAGGGAGTAGTTTGCATTTACAATAGTGGACGGTGTATGAGGGGTTTCACTCCTATATTCCTCTTTGGTGATTTTATAATGTTTGCTACTTAGATAAAGACATGTGTGTGGTACTTTCAACCTATTTTGGACTAAAAATGTTTGCAAAATGTACCCAACTTTGAAAAAAATCTTTCGAAAAGTGAGGTTCTCACATGAAAGGAAACCGGACATAGTGTTCACACTACAACAAATTCGGCCTATTATGACGAGAAAATTTTGTCATATTAGATACCCATTTTGTCATATTAGGTATAATATGACAAAAGGTGTTGTCACGAAGGTTTAAAACAAGGTTGTCACATTCGCTTTCAGTATAACTGAGGTTCTGGGTAATCTATTGTGACAAACCGAGATGTTATGACGATATATTTTGTCATTACTTTTGTCATAATTTGCTTATTTTGACAGAATTGTTCGTCATATTATACCATTAAATTTTGATATCACATAATTGTGAGGAACAATTTTTTGTCATAAATGGATGTGTGACGAACGTATTTTATCATAACTGTATATTAGGACGAACATATTTTGTCATAATTGCATATTGTGACCAATATGATTTATTCATCAATATATCGAATAACATATAGTTGAAAAAATCAATATTCTTGTAACATATAGAAAAAATTCTCAAAACCTAGAAAATACAATGTCATCTAGAAAAACCCCAAACCCAGGAAATAATTTCTGCCCCTGCCCCTACCGTTGATGACAATACATTCTTCTTCCTCACTTCCGCCGCGCCGACAACGCATCCTTTTCCTGCAAGCTGTTGGAGCCGTCGCCTACAACGAACAAGAAACAATAACAAACCAGAAAAGAAACCCCAAATCCAAACCCACAAAATGCAAATTTCATCTTCTTCCAATCTCTTCTTCCTCACTTCCACGACCGCCGAGAACCCATCCCCTCACTCATCTCCAGAAGCCAAAAAACCTATCTTCTTCCAATCCAAAACCCCATCTCTAGAACCCGCCCCCCTCGCTGAAAACTAAACACCCAAATGAGAAAACAGAACAAAACGAAATCAAAATTAAATCTCCCAAAATCAAACTTCATATTGAAAATAAAAAATACAACCCACAAAACATACCTTCCATTCTCTTTGATTTCCCCAGCAAAAGAGAAAAAAGTGAGAAGAGGGAATCGAACTTAGACAAATCCAACCACCCCCAATCTGGATCTTCTTATCGTGCCAAGCACCCTCGATCTAGATCTACCCTCTGCATCTCGATCTATTCGATATTCGAGCCTTTGAAGTTGCGAGGGAGCATGTTTCTGGGTTTACAGGCAGAGGAAGATGGGGTTAAAGTGGTGGTTGAGGTCGACATGTGGAGAGAAAAAAGGCGACAAGCGATGGTTGGCGGCCGGAAGGAGGATTCAATGGTTGGAAGATGGAGGAGACCAAAAGTGTCTCTCAGTGTACGTAGTGGGAGGAAGGTCAAGCAACGAATATGGGAGCTCGGATGGGTGACCGGAGAAGACGATGTCCTTTGGTGTGTGAAGGACGAACGGCTGTGGAGGAAGAGAATGGCGGTGGTGATTCTGAAAGGGTGAGGCAGAGGGTGATAGTGTGAGACGTGAGGAGAGAATCACTGCTGCTAGGGTTTATTTGATTTTATTATTATTTGTTTCTTCAACCCAACACAAGATATAAATAAATGAAATAAACGAGGAAGGCAGGGAGGGAAATTTCGGTGGGACTTGGGAGGGAACTTTGGGCGGGCTTATTAAAATTTGACTGGGACTTAGGAGGGAACTTTGGGCGGACGTAATAAAATTTGAGAGTCAAAAAGTTAAAAAAAAAACTTTTTTCTTTTGTGGAATAATATGGCAAAAGCTACTCTGACGATATAATTTGTCACTTTTGTGTCTCTTACATCTCGATTTGGGATGCCTATTTTGACAAACTTAATTGTGACACGAAATATTTGTCACATTACACACTTCAAATGACAAACTATTCTGACAACAAAAATTTTGTCACAGTTGAATCTCTTACATCCCGATATGAGATGCCTATTTTGACAAAATTATTTGTGACACGAAATATTTGTCACATTACTCACTTTAACTGACGAATTATTCTGACAACAATATTTTTGTCACATTAGGCATACCAAATATGACATATTTTATTTTTGTCATATCACCATACCTATTATGACAAACAAAAAATGACAAAATAAAAAATTTGTCCTAATAGGCCGAATTTGTTGTAGTGTCAAGTTGAACCATCAAAGGGCTCTTCTCATGGTCCCGAGTGCCATTTTAGGATGTGGCGTTCTGATCATCTTTTACTACCTTCCATCCTCCAACCACCTCTCCTCCTCATTAACTCGTACGGAGAGGAGATAGTGTGCCTTTACTCGAGTCACGAGACCTCGACTCTCATTTGTACCCGACATGTGTGGCAACCTGTCTGCCATTGAGACGAGGAGTGCATGCTGGAAAGTGGTGCCCGGGCAATGTCGTTTCGTTCTTGGACATGAGGGGGAGATACCTATTTTCAAAATTGCAAATGTTCCAAGTACGGTAATGTTTAAAAAGGAGAATAAAAAAATTGACTCTTACCTTGAAAAGAAAGAATAAAGAGTAACTTCAAAGAGTCCATCGCTTTTATTGTTTTTGAGGGTCCCTTGGTGCACACCTAGAATGTCTTGACCCATTTAGTCGACATAATCCTCATCCGGGAGTTTTTGTTTTCACAATGAGATGAGAGTAACTTTCACTCGACCCCAACTATTATAACTAGTGCAAAGAAAACTATAGTGCATACCATGTTGATTGTTTACTAAGTTGTACTTGTTTGAGTAGGTTTGCTTGGGGACAAGCAAACTCCTAAGTGTAGGTGAGTTGATAACAGCCAAAATGGTGTTATTTAGCCTTCATATTCAGGGTCATTTCGAGTAATTTCGTGGTCTTAATGGTCAATATATCATCAAATACATCCCTATTTTGTTCCTCGAAGAGAATATTGTCATATTAGGGTGTTTTAGATGAAATGAACGTTTTAGGTGAAAAATGGGTCACAAGTGTAGGGGTTATGGGCAAAAGCATATCACGACCATGAAGAGAGGGCGTGAAGAAAATTATGGAAATTGAGGCCTCCAAGGCCAAGATCGCGACAGCAAAGTGTGTAGCCAAGGTGCAAACTTTAGGAGTAGCCACTAAGGAAGGACCATGAACTTTCGATAGTAGACTCGTTGTCCCAGTTGTACGAGCCCACGATAAAGTTCATGACCGTGACATCACAAATCGTGAACGAGATGTTAGGCCACTATGCAAAGGAAAAAACGGGTCCTGTACACATGGTGGAGCAGAAGCTTTCGAACATACCGGCGAATATGTCAAGGGTCAACACCGATGTCGGCGAGCATGCGATCACAAAACACTATACAATGAATCCCCAACGCATGCAGACAAGGTGGTGAGGGTGCATGCCCGATAGGAAATCATGTAGCTACTACATGAACGACTCTTTCTAGCTTGAACAACTTATTTCCAAGTGTTTTCTGTTGTAATATAAATAGAGAGAAATATTAAAGTGGCCATTAAGTAATATTTGAACACTGTAGGGTAAATATTTTTTAATATATCGTCGTTGGTACATTGTATTAATTGAACTTACACTACAACCGTCTGTTTCACGTCTGTCTCACCTATGGTGCCATAGAAGCTACCGCTATGGGTGAGTAATGAGCATACAATGGGTGGATTATATGGCTTTGCCAGCCAGATGATAATCAAATCTACCGTCAGAATCCAAATCTTCAAGCAAAATTAGTGACACTCACAGTTAAAGCTCCGTCGCTACTGGTAGCTCCCCTGTGGTCTGACTCTTCCCCGTAACCCGAGGACAAAGTAGTACGCCATATAATGGGGGCATTGAACGTCTGTTAGTGAACGGTGGTAGACTAGAGAACTATTACACAAAGTGGGCGGGCTGGACGCGGTTTACGGTGAACCAGATCCGTTCGCGCACACTGGACCGAAGGTCTTCTGCTTCTGCGGTCATCGGGCCAGCAGGCGTGTGGGTCGTTCTGGGAAAATGGAAGGGGAGAACTATTTCTGGTGACACTGGGAAGTTGTAAAGGTGAGAAATTGCTGCAAGTTTCCCGTAATACGCAACGTTATTTTTGCTAATGTTCCACGAATGATTTTGAATTTCTGGACACACATTTTGACGTCGTGCAGAGGTTGCCACAACTAAATTTCATGACATGAGAGTTTGTGATGCGCCTGGATGAGCTTGTCGTTACTAGTGATGGTAATTTCAACCCGCCCCGCGGGTATTACCCGACCTGACCCGCGATGGGGCGGTTATTACCCGACTCGCAGTAGCGTGGGGCGGGGCATGGGTATCTACTTCCGACCCACCCTGCCCCGCCCCGCCCCGTTCTAGACTCATTTATCTCAATTTCTTACAATATCTATACATATTTCTCCTATATTGACTTTTCTTCAACTAGTTAGAGTCAATCTTTCAACTTGTTAGGCTCAATTATCCATTCTATTATCAATATTTTTCATTCTTAAAGTGTTTTCCCCTACGTTTTATTGTAAAAAGTAAAATTTACTTGTATTTTTTTTTTGAACAACATGTAAGAGTAGGTCGACCCCCCCCCCCCCCCGCCCGTACCGGCGCGGGTTTTACCCGCCCCGACCCGTAGTGGCGTGGGGCAGGGCATGGGAATTGAGGTACCCGCCCCGCCCCATTGCCATCACTAGTCGTTACGCAGACGAATGACCCAGGTCCAAGGCGAAGTTTTGACGAGAAGAACTACACCGGTGCAGAGATTTTATGCTTCTGCGGGAAGCGGGCTACCAGGCTCGTAAAGAAAAACAGGAATTACTTCGGGTGTCATTAGGAGTATTATAAGGTTAAAAGTCGTCCATGCGGTTCATGACTTGCGACTTCCAAGTGTGGTAGGATGACGGGTCTGGTGCGCAACGCCGTCTTGCTGCCCCAACGGGGTCGCAGCAGGAGCCGGAGCTGGAGCACTCCCCCTTGATCATCAAGAGCTAGAGAACAGCCACCTGAATGGTGTGACGAATCGTTAATTGAAGCTTTACTATCCACTTAGTTAGGATCGACGACGGACGGGGTTGTCAATGCTTGTAGCGTGCTAGTAGTCACATGGCATTACTGTATTCTGATTCCGCCAAGTACCCACAAGTCATTTTGTTAAGATCCGCAAAGATATTATGCAGGAGTGTTATAAATGATTCACCAACAAGGTCAGTAGGGCCTCCTTTCTTCCATCATTACGAGTTGGAAGTATTCGCATCTAATAAATGACATCTTCCTTCGAATGTCAACGAGTATTTTATTGTTTATAAATCTACAAGAGTCCGATAATGGGGTTAGACTAAGCCCAATAGCATGCAAAGGAGGCCCATGTTACTTTTAACTGTGGGCTACAACTAACCACAATACCACTTGTACAAACTCGTCAGCGGAACTTTACAATGTGGGTTCAGGGCATGCATTAATGGATACTCATAATGTAAGTAGATGGTATATCATATTATGTTTTCGATAAAAGTGTAGTTGCAACAAATTTTCCTCTTGGAAGCAACGTAAGTTTAACCGGTTTGGTTGACCATATTGCTATAATCATTACGTGAAATAGTGCTATAATCACATTAAGTGACCATATTTATATAATCCAACATATTGTATGTTTCCTATCTAAATAAGAAATCCAATGAGGTAAGTGTTTTTTAGCTTGAAAACTTTTCAATTGGTAAGTGTTTGTATGGATTTTAAACAGTAAATGAGACCGACTTTGGGAATTGCTAACACATTTTACAAATGTTGATGAGTAGAAATTGCTAGGATAATGACCCATCTAGATTTAACCGATTTGGCGGTAGAGCCAACTTTAGAAATTGATAACCAATTTTAGACAACTTATAACTATTTGGTATTACCGATAATCAATTTCTATAACACAAAAATACCTACACAACATAATTAATCGTCTCATATATTTTATTATATGGTATTGGCAGTTCGTAAGTAATCACAATAGATTGGACTTTAACCATTGAAATATTTTAATACCCTAAACACTATAATGGCTTGACATGAGGTCCCGACGGAAAAATCATGGCAGTGAATCCTGCAAATATTTCAACGGAGCAGAAGGAATATTAAGTCTACGAGACTGTCATTGTTGTGTCACGTTAACAGCGCTATCTGCCGCAGTAATCTGCAGGACACTTGATACGAGAGTAGAACTATATGATTTTAAATGGATGTAAATGGGCTTTCGACCGTTCTAAGCCGATGACCACATAAGGCCCGTAAGTAATGAGGATGGATTGACTATGATTCCCTAACCACTTAGATATCGATTGGAGCCTTTAGACGATCACACCATTCTGAAACACGCATGGAAAGCAGAGCCCTCTATTAATGTAGACTTTTGTGCACACTGTAACTGCCCTCGCCTCGTAGTAAATTTACAAGCAACCAACTGCCATTCTCATTTATTAAAGCAGCAAAGGCATGACCAGTTTATTTCAAAAAGTCCCTCGTCCTCCCTTCGTTTCAACCATTCAAGTAACGAAGGCCTGTCCTGTTATTTTTAAAAAATCTCCTGTCCTCCCTTCGTTTAAACTTCCGTCGTACACTAAAACACTAACTTGGAGATGGATCCGGAAACCAGAAGCGAGCATGTTGTTCGGAGGGCAAGACTGAAGCCCCACAACTAGGTCGATTCTGAAGTTCTTGACACGTACTGTCGCCTCCTCAACACAGAAACTGTCAAAAGAATAGGGAGGCTGATAAATTACTGCTTTCCTCTGAGCTTGAGTGTGAGTATTTCCCTTCGTCATACATAAGTAGCTTAGTTTCATAGTTGGAAAAATATATCCGACTATTAGGACTTTTCGAATTATGTTTGTTTGTCGTTGCAGAACAGTGCACTGCTGACCGTGCCGCTAGCCGTGTCTCGGATGGTAAAACAATTCCTGCTGCCATGTGGGAGATCGAGCACGATCTGGATATGTTTCCTCTGGCGCACGGGGCCTCATTCAAGGATTGTGAACTGGTAATCGTCTGTTTACTCACCTTGCGTGCTTTTCCTTTACTTTTTGTGGCGGTTGCATATATTTGTAGATTATGATGGATAAACTCTGCGGGTGTGCAGTTTCTATTTCTAGTGTACATAGCGGGGTCCGAGGACTCCTATGTGTAAGCCGCAAACATTAAAGTGAAACAAGGCTACCTTCTGCAAAGCATATCACATGAAGAGGAGGATATTTTTTACGAGATTGGACCGGTAGGGAAGTACAACTTCGAGAATGCATCTGAATTCCTCAAGAAGGCTGGTGTGAGGATTCATGGTATGGACGAGTGGACCTTCAGAGTAGACCTCCAGGCTCCCAATGCTCTAGACATGCAAGATTGTGGGGTATTTTCGTGTCGGTTCATGGAGTTCTGGAACGGCGGGTTCAAGGATGATATGCGGAGGATGGCGTCTCGCAGTGCCTTTGTGGAACGCCAAGGTGGCCTCATCGCGGCGGCGCTAATACGATGTGAGGAAGATGGAGGTAATGTGTTGCCGGTCGCAGAAGAGGCCAAGGATGAGGGGACCTCAAGCAGTGGTGGTAGCAGGAAGAGGGGGATGTATAAGTAGAGAACAGAGAAAGATTGGGCCCCAAATTTTTTTTGCTATGCAGGCTAATATGTTGACTTATTTCTTGTTGTTAGAAAGGCTTGTTGTCGGGTTATGTAATGCGGAACCTTTCTTGCAAATGTTCCGGCAGGTCAATGGATGGAACATTTGGGATTTTATTTCGGATGGCACACAGTAGGCGCTTATTTTTACTGTTGTTATGAATGGATGGTGTTGTTGTTTATTGCCTTCCCTGATTTTAGGATAAGACGGTATTAGGCTCCATATGGATAATTTGGAATTTGCTGGAGTCAAATGACCAGTGACGCATAACCAGAAAACTAGGGTTGGGATTCGGTTTTCCAGTTAACGGTTTAACCAATAATCGTACATGTAACCGTGGTTACCGGTTAAACCATTAACCGGATGGTAACGTTAGTCTGATGCTAAGTTTGGGATGGCGGTATACCGGAACCCGACAGCTAACTGACCGACAGACAACCGGTTATTCGATACCGGATTTGCAGGGGGCGACGCATGCACAGTAGTACTAATTCCCGAGTCCCGACCTCGTTCTGGTGTTCCCTATTCCCCTTAGAGTTATCATGCTCTATCTCCCTCTCGCTCTCTGTCTGCAGCTTGCCTAACCCAGGCATCACGGGGCACGAGTCCCGCCGCTTAATTGGAAACCCAATCGACAATCGGCGTCAATCGTTGTCCTCTCCGACGCTGGCGTACTCAGACCGACGAACCACAAATCCAGCACCGCAACATCTCCGTCGACCCCAACGCAGCGTCCTATCCGTCAACCCAATGCGCCTGGGCCCCAACACCGACGCCGGTGCAGCTTCCCCGACCCAGCAGCCCATAACATTGTCGGTTTTAGCTTCCCCCCGCCTGCCAGAAGTTATATTTTATTTTGGTGGGACGAGCCCAGCGTCTAGAGGCCAGAGTAGAGGGGTAGATAAAGACTAAAAGAACAGACTAAAAGAACAAAAACAACCACTAAATATATACAATATTCCCATAGCATAAATATCGTATTATGCGCGCAAATATAATATCTAATAACCGGAAAATCAGAGTCAATAAGGACATAGAAGGTATTACAATGGCATGATTGTTTGTGCCTTTGTGGGTTAAAATATGGGTCGTAGATACCCCAAACGGCCCATGGGAAATTTTGAGGGCATTATCATATTATCCTAACTCAAATATCATATTATAGTGTTGAAAATTTTAAAGTATCTTTTCCCTTCGATTTCAAAAGCTTAGGGTCATGGATAGGATCTTCTACGTAGGCGGATAGCCTGTCTAGACCTGGATCGTTGCGTTTTGAGGCCCATATACAACTTGATATGCGATGTCAATTTATATTGGCTAAAAGAATGCGGAAGAGAAAAGGCCATTTAGATAATGAAAGGCCCATGGTAAATTACGGGCCCATTTCTCTTCGTCCAAATTCGAATAACCAGGTGAATAAACCCCAGAATTCCACAACCACCGCAAAGTCAGCGTTACACATCCTCGTCGAAACCAGTCGTGGAAGCTCCTCCTCTCAGACCGTCATACAAACCCTAACCCTAAGCTAAATCCTCGTCTCCTTCGACGTTATAAGGGTTACACTCTCTAAATTACCGGTCCTCAGTGAAAATCTTGAGCATCGTGAGGAGCCCACCCAACGACAACACTTTGCGACAAAAAAAGCGACAACCATGACACGCGATGCTCTGGTCCCCACCGTTATCCAAGGTGATTCAAGTCTTTTATCCATTCAGTGGTCCTGCTGCATCCTTTACATTTCTATGTGTGCCCTAGATTTAGTTTTTCTTGTGTGTTGCAGATCGCGGTTGGAATGACAGAACCTTTTGGGGTTTGCGTAAGGGTGTAAACCATCGTTCAGTCGTAAGTCGCCTTGTCTATTTGTGGTTCTAGTTCCGACAAGCAAGGAATTGGTGAAAATTGACTCTGCACATGATTTGGCTTGACATGAAGGTTTGTTTATGTTAACTTATCAACCATTGATGGCACGACAGCCTCCAATAATCTCTATTAAGAAACTACTGCTTACCTTGTGGGATAGCAACTGTTTGTTATGTTGTGATCTAGTTTACCAGTAATGAAATGATTATGGAGGAATAAAATGGCCTCTCATGCTTGTATTATAAACCCACGAGAACCTATTGGTTGTGCAACGGCTGATGATTGAAGGTATGGCTAAACAAGAACACACCTCAGAACTTTTGAAAAAGCTTAGATTCGGCCAACTACATTAGGTGGATACTGTTGTTGCCTTCCCAACAAGGGAGAACTGACACATCATTCATTCAGAGCTGCGAGTACTTATGAAATCCGACCAGCTTATCAGCCACATTGATGAAGACCCTGAAAATCAACAGTTTCCGGTTAGCCCATACCCCAGGTCTCATTTGCCAATGTTGTCGATGGAGTCATATGACGTTGACTACCATGCAGGTATCAACTCATACCTCTCTCACTCTGGAAATTCTTGCAACCTCTCATAAAGATGACATTCACAAAATTTACAGATGTTATCGGATGCGTAAGACATGTGACAGTTCCAGAAACAGTTTAAAGTCGTCTGAAGGAGTTCCTCCTGGTCATACAAGATGCAAAGTATGGGTCCTGACCATTTAATTCTGTTTTTTGGTAGAATCCTGACCACTTCATTTAAACATATATGGATTCTTTGTGCTTGCAAGCTGTGGGGCCAAGGGCGTTGTTCGTTACCGTGGGTGGGATATCGATGAGTACTTACAACATGCACCAGCAGCTGAGTCTCGCCTGCCTGTGATCACTAGAATAAACTCGATGATGCGAATTCCTCATACGATCACCAATAAGTACAAATACGAGTTTGTCTCCATACCTGCCAGTCGACTTGTCATTGAATCATATACAAATGATTGCAAATACATAATGAAAATGTACCATTTCATGAAGCAAAATACCTCCCTCTTTTCGTACTACATTTTTTGTTAGTGCCTCATGAACACACTAACAAAACCTTTTTTATTTCCGCAATTTAGCTTTTTGTCGAACCACAAGCCAGTTAAATACATTGATGGGGCCACTGGAGGAAAGATTGGTCCCCTACGTCCCTTGTTCCCTCCCAAGAGCACGCTTGCTGAAGTGAAGGACGAATTTGCTAAAATTAAGGACGACCGTGCTTCTCGGCCAGGACATGGCAAGGTACATGCAATTTTCTTTTTGCCAAAACCAAAGCACAAAGATTTAGCATTTTTGCCCCATTGCTGACATTCTACAGTCAACTTATTTTTTTCAGGATCTTTACCGCTGCATGTTGGAAATCTCAAAGTGGGTATACAGAAAAAGCATATGCAGCCGCACTGCGGAATGCCAAGAGTGAGTTTCGATGATCTCACTTTAATTTTAATTTGCCGTATTAGTGCAGTTTAAACAGAACTAATACCTCACCTTCTTGGTCTCAAGTCTGCATTATAAGATAGAGGCGAAGTGTCGACAAGGTTCAACCAAATTTAATGTTATATTTGAACATCAGGCAGCCCTATCTCTTATTTTTATGTTACCTACATCATATCGCAAGCTAAACAAAGAGGAGGCCATAGCTCGTATCAAGAGCCACGTAACATAGTCATTCGCTGCAGAACTCTATATTGCGTGGCTGGATGGGCAAGGACCGTGCTCCGGGACCATGCCACACATCAGGGTTGCTACGCTCTGGAACCGGTTTGCCTTTGAAAAGTAATCTTCCACAGACATGGTACACCTTTTTGAAAACCGACTTATCTAACATCGTAGGTACGTGTCCTTCTTGATCCATTATCCCATCCCCAAAACTTCCCTCCATCCCAGACCCAGACAATATTAAACAATCCACGCCTACGTGCTTTTGCAGTTTGTATGCTATTTTGTTATTTTGCGTTCCAGCTCTGGCATGTTATAGCCATAAGTTGAAATAGTTTTTTTTACTATGCATATTTTTCTGGCCACTTACAGTAGCGATTAGCAGATCAGTCAATGGACAATGTAACTTCTATATTACCGTCCAACGACCAACTTCCCTGGAGGCAAAGTTCGTTGTATTATGCACGAATTATTTATGTATTCGGTACAAGTAAAATCGATATTCCAGTGGAGGCCTCTGGTGAAGTAGGTTGTCTACAAATTTTCTTGTTTTAAAAGCAATAGAAGAGATAGGTTGGGGGATTTTAAGGAATTTGGACTAACAACCCCTCTCTGTATTTGATTTTAGAGGGCATTGTGGTCCTTTTATATTAAAACTAGTTTTCTTACCCCGCGCTCCGCGATGGGATGTGGATTATATTTCCGTTCATCCAATGAAAAAAAAACTAATTAGTTGATATCACATTGACCAACGGCGGATCCAGAACACAGTAGAGTACTGGGCCGCATTTCAATATAATATTACATACCGTAAATAAAAATAGTTAATATTTTTAAATTTTAGTATTTCAAATAAAAAAATAGTTACAATATTACCAACGATGATAACAGACAAATGACTAATATTTTGATGTGTTACAAAATATTTAGCTAATATTTTGATGTGTTACAAAATATTTAGCTAATATTTTGTATTTTGAAAGGTTTGGCTAATAATTTGGAAAGTCTAAAAGGTTTAACTAATAAATTGTATTTACTCAAAATTAGTTTTCACATATTTCATTGCTTAAAATGTTCTCTCCATGGTAGCCGCTGAAACGGGCAAGGTCAACACTAGACGAATCAACCCACAAATCAATTTGTTTAGAGGGTTTTCTTATTTCAATGAAACTTTATACATTCTTTTACATTTTAGACTTTTAGGTTTTATTATTATTTTTTTTTCAAATGAAAATCATTCGGGCTAGAATTCCTAAACTAAATTGAGAGTAATGATTTGCATATGTTCATCTATACCATTTTTCTAACTACACAAAATTATTATCAAATAACACTCGACCGACCATTAAATAATACTGGGCCGAATACCTAGATCGAAAAATTTATAAGCTCTATACTAGCTCTGTATCCGGCGGAGGGCGCCCAGCCCTAGATCCGCCGATGACATTGACACACAACTGACAGTACGAGTCTCCAAAACAAAAATATTTTTTCATTTTATTCTCCAAGTAACAACAGCAGTATAAAGCCGCATTTAAATGTTTTCAGCAGCGTAATCACTATAAAAGGTTTACATGATTCCAGTTTGCTAACTTATCAAAATGTTTAAATCAACACCACTAATCTTAACAAAAGAAATTCCTACTACCTACAATTGAACCCTTCCTTGTCCACGATCCTTAGAGGAATTATACAACATAAACTGATGCCTGGCATATAGTTACAGGCAGCCCAGAAAGCAATTACAATCTCAGTGGGAGATAATCAACACACCCTCTCAACAAAATAAGTCTCCCTAACCAACAAAATTCAACCCATTCAACACACGTTTCAAACCATTAAATATCCACAGAAACAGATAACAATTAGATTCATTCTAAAAAACTTGGTCAGATTAGAAGGACTCATATGTGATTCCTCATCCATCGACCATCAACCTGTCAATTTCCAAAAGAATATCCAGATGTCACCTGTCCAGCACAATGTGTCATTCGTATTGGTTGCAGAGAGAGGAATGGCAAGATAGCTCTCTTCTTCTTCTTCTTCTTCTTCTTCTTCTTCTTAATAGAGGAGTTGGTGCCAAGCATCCGTAGACACTAGTTGTCTCGCTTGGTTCTAACATCACCTGCTAAAAAGGAGCGAGCTGCGAGCAGCAACTTGCAAAATCCCCAATCACAACTAGTGCAACGAATTACAATACAGAAACAAACCAACATAAAAGTAAGAACCAAGCGGGAGCCAAACCAAAAAAGGAGGAGGAAAAATAAAACACAGGAAAACAGAGACCAAATGTCACCAAAAACCCTCCATTCACAACTACTCGTGCATTGCATATCACCACACAGACTGACTGGTCCAATTGCACAAAACAGCACCACCCAACGCTAAATCTCGCCGGCGCTTCACATGACCGAGCATGCGTTGGGATTCTCGTCGCTGAAGGCGGTAGTGGTCTTGACCTCGAAGGACGTGGCCCGGGCCAGCGCAGAGGCCTGCGGGTCGTACATCACGTTGCGGACATAACCCGGCGGCGCCTTCTTGTCGTAGGAGCCAGGCGCGTACGGGTGGTCGACGACGTCGTAGGGGACGTAGGGCCACAGATCCGCCTTCTTGCCCGTCCGGTGGCGGACGCGGTTCAGGACTTTGTTGGGATCCACATACCCGATTACCGTCAGTTTGTGCTGCTTGGGATTCACTTCCACTTGGGTCACCCCTTTCATCCCTTCCACCGATTTCCTCACTTTCCTCTCGCAGCCTTCACAATCGATCTTCACCCTGATCTCCACCGTCTGCCCCAAACCCCAACCAGGCAAAATATATCAGTGACCTACCTAACTGTGAACAGGTGGGAATTAAAGCAGGGTAGGAGCTAGGATTTCTTTCTATTTCTACTTCGCTATCTTTAATTCCAGTTCCAATACCTGTAGCTGCTTGCGCTTGAGCTTCTTGCTGTCATGGGAGGGGCCAGAATCGCAGAGCTCGGAGAAGTGATCAAGGATACCCATCTTTTCTTTCGCGGATTCAAGGGTGGGTTTTAGTTTTAGATAGGAAGGAAAGGGACGAAGTTTAGGAAGAGAAAGCTTCAGCTTTTTTCAATTTAAAGGGAACAGCGGCCATAGCAGAACCGAACAGAGGGATAATAGAAAAGAAAAAGAAATGGTTAATGCCTGGCCAAATTACGGTATTATATTTGTCACTGTGTTGGACAGGTGGGGCGCACAACGGCCGGCCATGATTGGATTTGGAGCTTCCTTAGAGATGAAAGGGTTTCCTGTTAAACGTTGGCAAGCTAGAATCTTCCGTGGGAGGTGATGGACTTAGATGCACATCGATAGTCTGATCTGCTGTCCAGTGGAGCAAATGAACAGAGGATGGGATATTTTGTTGTGGTGGTAGGTGGATTGTTGTTTTATATGGGCTACACTACACAATAAGAATGTCATTCCGCATTGGAGCATCGAATTTGATTAAGCAATTGAGTTGTGAATTGTGATTGACGGGTTGAATTGGATTCAATCCCACTGATTTGATTTATATAAATTTTATAAAGAATTTGTGTCCAATGTAGTAAGTGCAGAGTTGATATATAAAAGCCGGCTAAATTACACGTTTGGTCACTCAAATTATATAAATCTTTCATGTTTGCCATTTAAATTATTTTTCTTTCTTAATCGCTACTAACTTTATGAATCGTTTCACCGTTAGTCATCGGCCGTTAGTCTCCGTCAGACTCCGTTAACTCCGTAAGTTTTTTGATGACGTGACAAACAGAACTAATGACTGGACTGTTAACTTAATGACGTGTCAAATTAAAAAATAAAAAAATAATAAGTCAACGGGAGGTGCGGCCTGCGGGGTTTTGGGGAAGGATTATCGAGTTGTTCTTTCCAGCGATGGGACGTTGGTCACCGTGAAATGCTTGGCGGAGAAAGGGGAGAAGTCTGAGAAGACATGCCCAGAACTCAGAACCCATCCATAACCAGTTCAATTGTCTGGTTAATTCGTCATTGTCGGCGGGTTGATGAACAGGAGTAGAGGGCAACACTAGCAAACCCAACCCCGTTCACGGGGCGATATCATTCATCATTGTCAGATTACCCATCATTTTGAACTTAAATCTACTCCACTATACTCTATTAAGATCCAAATACATTTGCATTCTCAAGGGTGAAGGGTAAGTAGCAAAGGAACTAAGGAAGAACGAAGTAGAGGAACATGATAGAGGAGGGAAACGACAAAGTTCACTTGTCTAACTCCCAATTGATTAATCCTTCTTTTCGTTCAGATTACCAACCAATTAGAGATCAGTTGTGAGGAACCCACATAAACGAGGAACCAGAGAAACAGGGGAATAAATTAAAAAACGAGTTCAACAACGTCGATGGCGAGGAGATTATGTTAGAAATCGAACAAGAAAAATTAGGTTACCGAATTTGACTGAGTCGCGGACTAGGTCGCTCTCTTTAAGACGTTCGCGACACTGCCTCGTATTGCGGACAGCAGACTATCAGCCGGTCGCCTCCAGGATAAAACAACCATTCTGATTTGTTGCTCATCGGTTTTGTGCGAAAAATCGGAGCTCTATAAATTCACTCTCTCTCTTGTGTTTCTGCTCTTCTGAGGTGTGTTTAGAGGGTCTGGGGCGTCTCCTATTTATAGGAGCAGAAAACCCAGAATATTCCCTATTTCTTTGGGAATAAGTCATATTTTAATTAGGGAGATAATTACTCCCATAATTAAAATATAATATATTAAGATAATTATTCCTAATTATCTCCATAATATTCCTTTTATTAATTATCCATCTTATTTATGTATTATGGGAAAATACTTGATAATTAATTAGGAATTTCATTTATAGCTTTTCAAAGCTATTCATCCCAACAATCCCCCACTTGAATAGTTTTGAAACTATCTCTGAGCATCAACAGTTCCATAAGATCGGGCATAAGCTAAGGTATCGCGAAGATTTGAACCTTAGCGTAGTGGTTACACTTCCGATTTCATAAGGGTGACTCGTAGTCTTGAACCCTATCTCGGACAATGTAGCACACCAGATCTTTTCATTGAGTGATATTCTCTCATAGGCCGTGCGTTTATGGCCATGCACGATATCCTGGTTTAGTGAACGCTCTAGCAACTTTGTGCCTCCAAAGTTCCATAGGGAGCGGCCCCACTCCCACATTCACATAGGTGAGTCTATCAGAAGTACCCCCAAAGTAAAGTACTTCACTCCACATAGAGTATAGATCTCATTAAGAGTTTAACTCAACCTCCAAGGCTTTGGGATTCATGCTTCACTATGCATGAACTTTTCTCAATATTACTCATGACTTGTTATTACCCGTTGAACCCGTTTCTTGGGATCTCCAGTCTATCGGGTCGGGTTACCATCACTTGTAATCCATGGATCGGTAGGCATAAGTCTCATACCCTTTGTGGTATTTTGGAATTTCTCTCTAGATAATCCTTTCGTCAAAGGATCAACTAGATTCTGTTAGGACCTTACAAGATCCACCCTCATTGCTCCTATCGTTAGGAGTTCTCTTACAGTACTGTGCTTAGGACCAATTGTCGTCTCTTTTCGTTCTAGAACCGGTTCCCTTCTTTAGTAATAGCTGTGGTGCTATCACAATGAATCAACTACCGGAGAGATCGGTCTTTCCCATAAGGGAATCTCTAGTAATGACCCTCTCAATCAACTTTTCTCTTTACTAGCCATTGCTAGCTCTATCATTTCTGATTTCTTAGTTGATTGAGCCAGGGTCGTTTACTTCTTAGAATTCCAAGACACAACTCTTCCAGTGATGTTTAAAAAATGACCACTGGATGCCTTGGAGTCTTCTATAGGGTATTCTCGTCCGCATCAATGTACCCTACCAATACAGTACGAAACTGTTGATAACTTATATCAAGGTCTACTTTCTCTTAAGGTGTCTCATGACCCCTTTCAATAGCATTTCAATGCTTCATCCTAGGACAATCAGTAAGCCTGCTAAGTACCCCCCCCCCCCACTAAATCGGGTATCATGTTTATCAGCTGCCTCCTGCAGACTGTAAATGTTAGTATATTCTAACTTTCTTACACCGTCTTAGGTGTTCATTAAATATTTATACGAGCATCATCAAACATGTATGCAGGTGTACATCTTGTATTTTCCTAGTTATTAGGATCTCTAAGCATAACATTTGTTTCATTCAGATCCTTCACATTCAAATTTCTCAACCATCATGGTTTTTCAATATTGACATCACGAGTCTTTGTCCCAAAGATCGACGTGTCATTCATAATGCAAGTGTCATTCTCAATTTTGTACTAAATGCACTTGTCACTTTTACTTTTAATACCATGAGAGAGAACCAGTTTATTCATGCCATTGTCTTAGAGTCTATTTCAAATCTTACAATGACTTGTCTAACTATAGACTCCCTAAGCATGTTCAGGAATAACAACTCTATAGGTAGTCCCATGTAGATTTTCCTATCTAAATCACCATTCACAGAAACATGTTTAACAATCCATCTGACGCACAACACTAGCAATCAGAACATACATGGATGTTATTCTACATATGGTGAATAGATAACAAGAAAATTTACAATTTTTCCTTTTCGCTTAAAGCCTTAGCTATTAGGCGATCCTTATACTCATAAACTAAACCAATAGGTTTCATTTTTCTTTTAAGAATCCATTTATTACCCATGACTTCATTGCCAAGAGGTAATTCTCAAATATGCCAAATCTTGTTTGATTCTATCGATATATTACCCAAGACTTTTCAACCAAGAGGTAACTCTACAAGATTTTAAGTCTTATTAGACTCCAATAATTCCATTTCGTTAATAATGGATTCTCCCACAATCTGCATCTTTATGGAAGTTCAAACTTCTAGCAGACTTGTAGGATCTTTCTTTCTTAGGGTGTAAATAACAAATTAATAACCAAAATCCTTTCGTGATTTTTGGTTCATTTGTCTCTTCTGAGTTCATACTCAGATTCATCACCCCCACTAGTTCCATTATTTCTAATAGTAGGTAGGATTTAACCCCCACTACCTCTTTATTTTAAATGGAAGTCTATTGGCATCCATGGATTCCATAACATAATGAGTATTTCATTTCATGAGGCATGTATATTTTACTATTTACAATACAATCAATAAAATATACTCATATGCTTTCCAAGTTATCATATTACATCTACCACATGTATGCACAGTATCGAATAATCAGTGCAATCATTAATAATGCGATAAAGCATTTCTCAAACAAATTAGCATCTCAAATAACTAGATAGAGCACTATGTATAGCAATAAATCACTTATTGTCTTTCAATCACGTATACCCATATAAAAATAAATAAGATCTATCGATTTTGATTCTCTAACCATGTATTTATGGGTCATTTAGCTTGGATATAAATTCAAATTTATCTCAAGTATTCAATAATAATATGGGAATGTGATATAAGATATTCTAATTCTTCACACCGACACACTTGGAAGAATTTATTTTATCTACTTAACCATTCCTTACGTCTAGTATAGTCAATGACTTTCTAGAGGTAGGGTTCTCTTCCACTTTCCCGGAACCATTAACAATAGCGGTGAGGGTCTATCCCAACAACACTTTCTCCTTCAATACGCCTCAATGCATGAATGAGCTTAGCTACTTTATCAGATGCATGCCTTGAGGCGTCAATATCCAACCACCATTCTTTAGAATTGTCATTAAGGCCTATCACCCCATTAGTGATTATTACCACCAAATCCTCTTATTTAGTCAAGTTAACATTAGGTTAAACTTGTTCTTACACTTTTGTGTCTTATGACCTAGTTTCTCACAAATAACAGAGGAAAATAGCGTCATTCGTAGAGGATTGGGTGGCAATCTTATGGTTACCACAAAGGGTACCATTCTATTTGGTATGGATCTGGTTCGGCTTGCTGCTCTCATTCTTGAAACTTTGATGTTTCAGAGCAGCCTAAGTGGTTCGTGTAGTACTGATAATAGTACTTCTTACAATATCGTTATTATGGGCAATAAACCCATTCTATTCCCATATATTCTTCAATGCACACATTTAGACAAAATCATTCTTTCAATGTAATCAATTTATGCTCTAATCATCGAGATACGTAATATATCTCAATGTCAACTTATCATGCATCAATTCAAGCTTTCATTCTAGCATTCATAACCTTTCTCAATTTCATGCATAAAACCCTATGAAATTTGTCATTCATTAATGACTCATGAGAAAGGTTTCAGTTCTTACCTCCTTTCAAGAAGTCATTTCCTTCTAACATTTGTAGTTAATAGCTAGACATACATAGCTTCTTTGTTGCTCGTTTTGCTTCTCCCCACAACCTTTAAGGCTTGCACTCAACATCGTGCATTTTCCTTGTTCTATCGTCGTGGGTTATGGCTTCTAGGATAACTTCTGCTTCTCATTGAGCCTTCTATCGCTTGGCTTGGGCCCTATTAGTTACACGCAGCAACTTGTTGGAACGGAACACGTCGCGGTTGCACCCTCCATAGTTTGCTCCGTAAGGGTTCATTAGCAACTCAATAATTGTGAAACAAAAATTGACAAAGAACTGTCAAAGTAACTTGCGGCACCCTAAGCAATTAAAGAATTGTCAAAGTAAAAAGCAAAAGGCAACTGAAGCTCATACGTGTTCCTTCCAAAAAAAAAATATATTCATCTAGGTTACCGTGGCTGCAACTGAAGCTGAAATCCCCTTTTGCTTCTTTCCACGCTTCTGTCCTTACTCTGCTTCCGCACCATATGGCTTTGGTTCTTGTGACGCCAGATGAGGTGAAAGAATCGAATATGTTCTCTAGGGCAACAGTCATAGCAAACGGGGTTGCTACGTCGAATCGAATATGTTCTCTAGGGCAACAGTCATAGCAAACGGGGTTGCTACGTCGAGCGATAGGAATCGTTCCTCTTCCCTGTTCGAGAAACTTCAGAACTATCTATCTATCTATACATAATATTATAGCAATTCAAAAGTAGTTTGTTGCTACATAAGCATTTGGAGAATTTACAAGGTGTCATGGTGGACAATTTTTTTACTAACAAAAAAGTTAGTTAGTGATCAATTAATGTAGAGCTATCTATCTTTTTTTAATATTTTCTTTTTATTTTAATGATCATTTATGTAGCTATCTCTATCTTCTTTTAATGTTTTCTTTTTTTATTCAATAATTGTATTTTCCAATATATATGTAGCAGTAGTATACTTATATTTGGAGAGTGACATATATTGTAATGCTTCAAAAAAAATATTTGATTAAATCTGATCAATTAATTTTTCTTTTTATTAAAACTTAATATATGTTATATTTCGATAAAAAATAAATTAAACACACAAATAAGTAATAAAAAATTTTAAAAAATATAATAAAGGAAGTTTAGATAATCAACATTTAATAATCAATTGAATTTGAAAACCCAACTATATAATTTTATGTTTTGGTTATCAAACGCTATCTTTTTCTAATGTTTGTATCTATCAACGAAAACAAGTATTAAATAGCAAAATGCTTCAAAAGTTGTTTTTTTCATTTTGATAGAAACTTGACGAAGCCATAATATAGTACCTGATTGTACAAA